AAATACATACAGATTGGTAAAGCAGCATCTCAAGGACCGGCCAAATAGGGACCAATCTGAAGCATCAAGGGGAATAGTGCAGACTTGCACACACTAACAGAGCTTTGTTAAACAGACTGCTCCCGGCGCTACATCATCCTTCAGAATTAGACTTTGATGGGTCTTCTTGGTGCCAACTTCAAGGCTGGACTAGTGCCAAAATTAGGTCTCCGAAATATCTACTTTATTTATGTAAGTGTTTTAGTTGTTTTTTTTTTTTTTTAAAGGCCCAGTTTTCTTGAGCATTAACCTTACAGGATTTTTCAGCAAACCAGGACCACAACTCTTCATTTCACAACAGCACCTGGGTCCTCTGCTAGGCGTCCTCTGTGCCCTCCCATCCATATGGTTCACCTGGTGATGTGGCGCTATAGGACTAGCACTGAACCACAAGGTTGGTGGATCAAACTCACCAGCTGCTCCTTAGAAACCTACACAGGGTCACTATGAGTGGAACTGACTCAACAGCACTAACTACAACATGAGATGATCTTACTGGTTTATCTCCCCATCCCTCCCCAGCCCACACACTGGTCGGTGTATGTTTAGGTCTTCTATCACCATGGTCTTCTCTTAACTCATTGTTTTAGCCATTAGGTTTGGTCACTGGCATATGAGAAGAGTAAATGTTGGTGTGAGACAGGCCCTGTATCAGCCTATATAGGGAGACTAAAAATCCAATTCCTAAGCTGATGTTAAGCTTGGCCCTTCAGACTTGTTATTACACTAAGTACAATGTATTTTGTTAGTAAGGTGTTGACTCTTAATTCCAAAATGACCGACCAGGCCATTAACTGAGCCTACTGTTTCTCTCACTTAAGGAAAAACAAACAATGTTTCAGTAGGTCACTAAGTCACACAGTGATACCCAAACCCAGTGCCATTGAGTCAATTCTGGCTCCTAGGAACCTTATAGGGAGGGATATAACTACTTTGTAGAGGTTCCAAGGCTGCAAAATCTTTACGGGAGTAGAAAGTCTCATTTTTCTCCCATGGCGAGGCTGGTGGATTTGAACCGCTGATGTTGTGGTTAGCAGCCCAATTCTTAACACACCACGCCACTGGGGGACCTCACACAGTGATAGTTACAACAGAAGCAGCATCCTTCTCCTGAGTTCTTGACTCTTCCTTACATAATTGCCTCAGAGTAACACTCCAGAGAGGCCTCCAACCCTCATGTGATCACCCATAGACACAATGGCCTTTTTCCCACTTTAACTAAACAAACAAAGTTTACTGTGGTCTTGGCAGGGCTATCATCAGTCTATCCTCAGAGAGTCTCTCGGTCATTAAGAAACAAAATGGCTGACTCTGCCCTATTTCTGAGGAGCAGCCGTGCACATTGGAAAACCACTATCCTAACTGGGATCTTGCTGGGAGGCCACCACAGAGAAAACCCAGCTTATCTAAGGCACCTCGTGAGAAAACACCTCACATTTGTACACTGCATCCCTCCAGGTCTAGAATGGAGATGAGAAAGGGGGAGGCCTGGAGGAGTACGTGGGATGGGACGGGAAATCCCTGTGAGGGTGGCGGTACACTGTATACCTTGCCTTCCCTGAGGGAGACCTGGGTTTGGTTCCTGGCCAACGCACCTTGTTCACAGCCACCGCTCAGCTGTCAGTGCAGGGCTGCAGGTTGCGATGATGCTGAGCAGGTTTCAGGGGAGCTTGTGGGCGGATGAAAGGCTGGGGAGCTACTGAAAATCAGCCAATAAAATCCCTATGGAGCATAATGGTCCTATGGCAACAGCACAGAGCCTGGAGGCAGGTTATTTCATTGTGCATGGGGTTCCCAAGTGTTGAGAGTGACTGGGCATCAGCTAATAACAACAAAAATGTACATATCCTAATTCCAACACCCTGTACAGGGTTTCCAAGGAACGGCTGGTGGGTTTGAACTGTCCAGTGCTCATCCTACAGCATCATATCAGGATGATCTGGGTGGACCCAATGCAATCCCAAAAGTCCTTCAAAGGAGACGAGGAAAGCAGAATTTAGAGGTCAAAGTGACAGGTTGTGAGAAAGACTCCACTCTGTTGTTGGCTTTGAAGATGGAAGAAGGGCACCAGGAATTACTCTCCTCCTAGTAGAAATGACATGAGCCAAGGAATGTGGGTGGTCCTTTCTAGAAGGAAAGGAAATGAATTTTCCCCTGGAGTCTCCAGAAAGGAATGCAACCCTGCCCACAGCTTGATTTTAGGCCCTTGAGATCCACGTCTCAGACTCCTGACCCACAGAACTATAAAACAATAGATGTGTGTTCTCTTCAACCGCTAAATTTATGGTCATTTGTTACAGCAGGTGTGGCCTGGGCTTGGGGAGTCTGAAAGGCTCCCCAGACGATGCTAATGTGCAACAAAGTGTGCTAACCACTGAACTAGAGGAAACACAAGATTAAGGACTGCTGGTGAACGGTCCAGGGAGCCCTGGTGGCACGGTGGTTAAGTGCTCGGCTGCCCGGGGAAAGGTCATTGCCCCACACGCTGCTACATGGGTGAACGATGTGGCAGCCTGCTTCTGTAACCATTTCCAGCCTTGGGAGTTAGGGGGCAGTTCTGCTCTTGTCTTCTAAGCTGGCTATGAGTGGGAAGCAGTTTGGCAGCTGTGGGTCTGAGTGTGTTTAATGATGGTATTTCCGATTCTGGAATAACATATGGTGATTTCATCTGGGAAGTCACCCCCACAAACTATGTGCCATCAGTTTTACATCATCTATCCATAGTAGGCGTCCTGGTGTGGTGCTATAGCATAAGCACTGGACTGCTAACTGCAAGGTCTGCAGTTCAAACCTATCAGATGCTCTTCAGAAACTCTATACAGGGTCACTATGAGTCAGAACCAACTCCAGTGTACTTACAAAAGCAGCAGTCCTAGGTAACTACACAGAGAAGTATCTAAACTCAACACTAGTTCAGTGACTAGAGTTCTTTCTAATATGACTCACTGAATATGCTAAATCTTCTTGGGATAAAGAACAATTATACAGATTTTCTACGGAGCTTATTTTCTTGCCAACATTGCCTTTCAAGGAAAGAACTGACCCCAAAGGAATTATACGATAATATAATTATATGCTGTTTGCTGCTGGTAAGTGTCGTCGCCTCGGTTCTGACTCATAGCAATCCTGTATAGGGTTTCAAAGGTGCAGCTGGTGGGTTTGAACTGCTGACCTTGTAGTTCAAAGTCCACTGCTGATCCTACAGCACCAGACCAGGAGTCCACATTCACAGTATTGTTGCTAAGTACCACTGAGTCGATTCTGACTCACAGCGACCCTGTATAAGGTTTCTGAGGAGTGGCTGGTGAGCTTGAACCGCCAACCTACTGACCAACCTTGCAGTCCAGCGCATTAACCCACAGCGCCACACCAGGATTCCGCATTCACATAAAAACCATTCAACTGCTCTCCATCCTGTGCTTAAACTTTCAAAAAACCACAATCCAGACTCTGAAGAGAGAAGGTTTCTTGGTTCGATTTAGCCATCTGCTTATTTATGATGATAAATGAAATGAGAGAAAAGGAGCTCCCTCTCCCTAGGTATCCTAACAACAACAACAACAACAACAACAACAAAATAACTCCAGCACTTGTATGATTTCACCAAGTAACGGTCTTCCCTTCGGGGCCAGTATCCATCCATTCTCAAGGCTTCCATCAACATTTACACATTGATGAAGCCGGTCCATCATGAGCCACCCCAGGTACTGGCACCAAAAGCTCCAGTCTTGGGGCCGTTTATTTCCTCTCTCTCCGTTATTGTCCTTACAGGGACATTAACATACTCAAAAGAACAGTCACAGAGTATAGACTCAAAACACCCAAGTCTGAATTTTAGTCTGATACGTTTAAGGGATGGAACACTGGACAAATTCCTCAGCTTCTCTAACAAATGGAATAACGTGTCTTTCGTGATTCTCTTGTATAGATTTTCAAAAATGATTTACAGGGAAGTGCTTCTGAGCACAAAGTGGTGGTGTGACATTAAGTCCGTTCTGACGCTTAACGACCCCCTATTTCGTTTCCAAGATGGTAAATCTTTACGAGCAGAAAGCCTCATCTTTCTCCCTCAGAATGTCTGGTAGATTCCAACTACTGACCTAATGGCTTGCAGTCCAACTGGTAACCTACTAGGCTTTCAATCAATGCTGGTTTCACTAAAACCCCGCTATTCTAACTGGTTCACACACAATGTTTGTGCTAAAGCTCCTCACATCTATTTCCTTTGGCCCTGTCCTCTCTCTGAGCTCTGGTAATGAATCTCACACTGCCTGTTTCAGAGCTCCACTTGGATCTCTCACTGCACCTCTAATGAGACACACCCCACACTGGACTTATGACCCTTATATTCCTCTGACTACATCCTAACAGTTGAATTATCACCAGTCCCTTGTATCCATTCTTTCCTCTCCATCCCTGCTACATTAACTCTCGCTCAGGCTCTCGACACATCACACTGCACACTTCCAGTTCAAGAGCCTTGCAGACCGTCTCCCTGACTTACAGCTCTTTCTCTCCCAATCCATTCCACTTGTGTTTGGGAATTATTCGTTCTCCAACCAGATCTGTCACATCAAACCCTGATCGTGTTCAAACACTCCGCGCCTCCCAGCTGCCTGGTGCTGATGACGGAGGAGCCAAATCCACTGGGTGTATTGATAATATGAAATACACATAGCCTCAGCATGGGCAAAGCACTGAACAATGTCATAGGATTCCTGAATAAAAGTAAAGCTCCTGGGATAAATGGGACATAAAGTGACGTATTTTTCAAAGCTACTGAGAACTAGAAATTTCAATCAAATTTTCATTATGTGGTATTTAATAACTACAATCTAAATCTGTCACAGCCCACCTTCAATTATCTGAAGCTATAACGCTCCATTGATGTAAACAACTCTCCATGTTTCATAGCATTATATACTAAGTGGCCTATTTGTCCATCTCAGACTTGTCCTTACCATTTTGTTCATCCAATTCATTCCCAATTTCCTGCCCCATTTGTTTTTGGCGACTTATGATGGAGGAAAGGGCATCAAGGCCTGCATCCTGTTCTGAAAGAAGAAAAAAACAAAACAATCAACTAACGGAAAAGACAATTTAATGATTTAATGTCAAATAATATGTCTAGACTTATCGCATAATTCAATACATGCTAAAAGTAGCCTTTTAAATCATTCAGATAGTCATTAAATCAAATAGCTAGCTTTGTTGTATAAGACTTGGCTATAGAAACATTTAAACTTTCTGACACACCATATGTAAAGAGCATGTAAAAATCAATAAAAAGACTTAATATCTCAATTTTTTTAAAGGGGCAAAGAGAAAGGAATTTTATAAAAGGATAAAAAATGGAAAATAAAACTTACGAACTTACTACTCATTTTTAAAAAGTATAAATAAACTCAATAATTTTGGGGGTGCTTATTAGTTTTGCAAGAATTAAAAAGAATGATAATATCCAGGATTAACTAAAGTGTGAAGAGCTAGAGGCTCCTATATACCTACCATTTGATAGGAGGATAAATTGATACACCTTTCTAAAGAGCAAACTGTGTCCATCTTTTTATCTATAAATTCTATTTTTAGAAACATATGGCAGTAACACATTCAGTCTGTAATGATATTATACAAGAATATTCCCTGAAGATACCAATTTGAGGACTAACGTGCACCTGACAGAAGCCATGGTATTTTTAATGACCTCACATGCATGTGAAGTTGGACAATAAATAAGGAAGACTGTGGAAGAATTGATGCATTTGAATTATGGTGTTGGAGAAGAATATTAAAAGTACCACGGACTGCCAGAAAAACAAACAAACTTGTCTTGGAAGAAATACAGTCAGAATACTCCCTAGAAGCCAGGAAGAGCAAGACTTCGTCTCTCATACTTTGGGCATATTATTGGGAAGAGCCAGTCTCGGGAGAAGAAAGGTCAGTGAAAAAGAGGGATGCCTGTAAGGAGATGGACTGATACAGTGGCAGGAGCAATGGGTTCAAATGTTAACAATTATGAGGATGACTCAGGACCAGGCACTGTCTGGGTCTGCTGTGCATAGGATCACTGAGTCAGACTCGATGGCACCGCCTAACAACAATATTTCCCCAATACATTATTAGTTGTGTGGGTTATCTATCTACTGCCTCTCAGCTCTAAATTTGACCTTTTTGACTGCTCTGTGAAAATGGATCAGGATCCTAGACATAATTTTTCTTTGTCGGCTTTGTCAGCAGAGGGCGCTGGAGAGACACTGCCAGTGTCTGCCTGGTCCCAGTAGGCTTCAATGTCAGCACCTGGTAACCAGCAGCCTCTCCCAACACAACTCCTACGGACACATGCTCTCACTGGGCAGTTTGTGGCAGGGTGTCTCCAGCTGGACAACTCGCCCTGTGACAAAAGCACCATAGTGACTTCTCTACCATCCAGGGCATCACAGATGCGCCCTCTAAAACAAGGTCCAGGTCTCAGCCTTGGGGCTGCGAGGCTATCACTTTAGCATGTTGTCTCAGCCCCTTATAAAGAGCAACCATGAATGCTGGGGCTGACTACAGTCTCTGGGTGGTGCCAACAGTTAACATGCTTGGCTGGTTAACTGAAAGGTTGAAAGTTCAAGTTTACGTATAGATATCTCAGAAGAAAGGTCTGGGGGTCTACCTCTAAATATCAGCTACTGAAAACCCTATAGAGTACACAGTTCTACTCTGACACACACAGGGCAACTGTTACTGGTTTTACTTCTCAGTAGCTCACCTTGCCTTATCTAATCCCATTATAGCAAATAAGTTTTTATATTACACTTTCTCCATTCAAAACTTTCTTCCCTGACTGTACCCTGATTGATACAGTAATAACAGTGAAAACCTGGAAACTACTTATCATGCCCAAACACAGGGATTGGGGATTGGGTTAAAAGTTATAGTATAGCTTCACATGCATGTGAAAGTTGGACAGTGAATCAGGAAGACCATAGAAAAACTGATGCATTTGAGTTAGGACGTTGGAAGGGAATATTAAAAGTGTCAAGGGCTACCAAAAGAACAAACAGATCTGTGTTGGAAGAAGTGCAGCCAGAGTACTTCTTGGAGGTCAGGATGGCCAGACTTCATCTCTCATACTTCAGACATACTATCAGGAGGGACCAGTCTCTGAAGAAGGACATCACATGCTTGGTAAAGTGAAGAGTCAGCAAAAAAGAGGCAGACCCTCCCACCCCCTCCCCCATGACATGAATTGACACAAGAACAAAAGCGAACTCAAACAGCAACTGTGCGGATGGCGTAAGACCAGGCGGTGTTTAGTCCGGTTGTACATACGGTCGCTATGGGCTGGAACTAACACGATGGCACCTAATAACAACATACCCATGTAATGAAATGCCATGTAGCTATTTAAAATGATAGACTTATATTTTGATGTTGAGAGGAGCCCATAGTATTTTTTTTTTTTAATTCAGCTAAGACAGAAGAGATGATTTACTGTGCACATGTTACATTCAGCCACAACTGAGAACAGAGGACAGAACTAGTCCAGGATGTCAGAGGTCCAGGACGAAGGGTCAAAATGAACAGCAAGGTGGGTCTCAAGTCTTCAAAGTGTTCATCGAATGGCGATGCAAGTTCTAGATCCACTGAGCCCGAAGTTCTAGACAGGAGCACGTAGTCAACAGCTTGTATCAGTGCCGTGGCCTCCACCATTCTGTACTCCTGCTGCTGTGGTTTTTGTGGGGGCACACGCTAGTGTTTTACTTGGACCTCTACCTCATTTTTCTTCTTTTGTGTTGCAACCTGACATTAATTTCTTCTTCCTCCACTTGGCTCTCATGACTCAGAGGTTTCTAACAAGATGGCACTAAGACACAGAAAGCCCATAGCAAGTAAAGACACAAAAACACAAGATACAAAACTATGTATAGTAAAATAGTGCTTATATATATATATTTTAAATGAAACTGTATCCCTTTTCTGGTTCCTGAAAGTTTAAAAAGAAAAGAACTCAAATTACTAAAGAGTCAAGGTATAATATTGGATTTTTACTTAGGGCACTTCAGAAATTTCTCTGGAAGAATTTTTCGCCTTTGCTTTTGGGGCACACATTGGGAAGAACATAATGAGGCTGAATCCAATGACTCTCTACCCAAGCTATATGCTAGAGGGGGTCTTTCATCTCCTTTATAGGGTTTAAAAAAGAACCGTCTCAAATCTACAAATGGATAGATACATAGACAGACAGAAAAGCTGAACAGGTGTGGGTAGGCAAACAGGTTTGGCATGAGAATATTTCCACAGAGGTATTTGTATAAGCTATAAATATATCCCTGTATATAGTAGAGTAAGGAGCTCTGGTTGCCTAGTGGTTACGAGGTGGGCTGCTAACCTCAAGGTCAACACTTTGAAACTACCAGCTATTTCACAGGAGAAACTTGAGGCTTTCTGCTCCCATAAACATTCAGTCTCAGAAACCCTATACAGGTTCGCTATGAGTCGGAACTGACTGCACAGCACATAACCAACCACTATAGTACAGGGCACAGGAGGTACAGATGTGAAAACTTAGTAATAACCAAATACCTTGAAGGATGAGTCCCTGAGCTTGGAGGTTTAAGATTACAGTCTGTAAGTCAATTGGCCTAAGAATTTTCTACATCCTGCTGTAGAGAGTTCTGTTGTGGCACTGTCGGATAAGCACTGGAATGCTAACCACAAGGTCGGCAGTTCAAATCCACCAGCCACTCCTACAAAATCCTTTAGAGGGTTGCTATGAGTCAAAACCGACTTGAGGGCACTTAGCCACAAGTAATTGTGGTTGAGTGGTACCTGGGATCTTAAAAGCTAATAAGCAGCCATGGAAGGTGGAACTATTGGTCTCTCACCATCTAAAGCAAAGAAGAATAAAGAAAAAGCAGAGACATATGGAAGCAAATATTCCCAAAGACTAACGGACCACGCAAGCCTCACCCTCAATCAGCCTGAGACCCGAAGAACTAGATAAATGGGTGGCTTCCACTACTGATCACTCTAGAAGGGGTCACATTCAAAGTGGGGAGAGTGGGAGAAAATGTGAAAGGAAACTCAAAAGTATAAAACAAACAAGCAAAATAAACCCAAGCCTACCAGACTGACAGAGACTGCCGGAACCTCCGAGGAGATGGCCCGTAGTCACCCTTCAAGCCTGGAGCTGAGTTCATCACTGCAGCTCAACTTTTAGCCAAACAATATACAAGTAGGATTAGCATCAGATTGCTAACTGCAAGGTTGTTGGTTCAAACCCACTACTCATTCCTTGGAAACCCTATATAGGGTCACTATGAGTCAATCAACTTGGTGGCACTTAATAACAACAACAGCAACAACCTAATGATAGCAGTAACACCAGGGAGGTACGCACTTCTTAGAACAATCATAAGAGGTCAAGAGGGCAGCATTTGCTTAGGGATAAAGCTCAGAAGGAGTTCTGGTGTGGTGCTATGGGTTAATGCACTGGACTGCAAGGTCAGTTTGAACTACATCGTTGATGGTTCAAGCTCACCAGATGCTCCTTGGAAACCCTATACGGAGTCGCTATGGGCTGGAACCGACTCAACGGCACTTAACAACAACAATGAAGCTCAGACGGCAAGAAAGGATAGAAAAGGATGAATGGAATGGAAACTACATTGTGGGGACTACAATCAGTGTCACAACACAAAATGTGTATGAACTGAAATGGAGAACCAATTTGCACTGTAAACTTTCACTCAAACCGTAATAAAAATAAATAAATAATGGTTTCATATAAAAACAGAACCCACAAAAGTCTTCTTACCCAAAATTACATTAATACCTTTCATTCCCCCTTCCCCATCTTTTTTATAGAATTAGACCATTACACTTAACTCGTTAATTCATCTGGAATTTATTTAAACTAAGAGTGTGAGGTAAGGACCCTTAGTAACATTTTTTTGACACTTTGCGCTTTTTTTTTTAACTATACAAACATCCTATTGTCTCGAGGGGCCATTCTAAGGGACCGTTTGAGAGTGAAATCATTTTCTAATGAGGTTCTTTGGGGTCT